GAGATTTAAGTTTACTGGTAATTTGAAAAATTAAAACCACACCTTCAATGGCTATAAAACATATTAAGAAATTATTTCCCTGAATAAACATGTGTGGGTAATCCAGGGGAAAAATACCATAAGGCTCTATCTTCTTTGGTAGATTATTAAGAAATGAGAATAAGAAGTATTTTTATATATAAGGTYGACCTTCCTTAGTTAAGCCAATTTACACAGCACAGAATGTAAATGTTTCTCGTTTACAGAATGGGAAGCAAGGGGAGGTACCTTTATTTTTATGTGTGTGCTGCACACCAGCCAAGGTGCAGACTATCTTGGTGGTACTTACCAAAGACTGGTGGGTTTTTTTTTTTCTGACGGTGTAGTAAACTGGATCTGAGAAGATGTACCAAAAAGGTAAAGTTTCTGCAAGGCCATTCTCAGACTGCCTTCCCCCTGATAGTTTGTGTATGACTTTCATCTTACTTATGTTGGTTATCTGACCATRTAGGAGACAGTTCAGTTATCATCAGCAGTTAGGGGTATGTAAACCCCTATTTTGTTTGAAAAGACTGAGTTTACAGAGAGATACTTTTAGTAAAACATCAAAGGAGATTGGGAGCTTTTGATAAATTTGAGCATTTTCTTCTTGAGTTTCGTAAAAAGTAGGTACATTGACCATGTATCTTTGAACCTTTTCTTCCCTCGTGCACTTTTTATGATATTGTGTGACACAAAAGTGATAACAAGAGTGAAGAATATGACAGAGTGTGGAAGAATGATGTCTGCTCCCTTCTCTGAATAACAATCTATCAGATACACTGCCAAAAGGAAGGCATTTATAGTGTTAAACAGAATGTTCACAATTTCTTGGGACCTATGCCTTTAGGCAAGAAAATGATCTAAAGGTATTCACTGCAGTAGAAGGTGAACATAAAACTACTCACTTTTAGAACTAAGAAAAGTGCTAAATTTTGTCTTGGCTTCTGCAGTAATTTCTTGGCATCCTTACTTATTGCTGAACAGCAACACAAAATCATCAGAAAGTTTTTTTTGTGCCTAAAAACATACCTGCGTMAAGGAGGAATAATGTGATTTCTTCTATTTTAAAATATTTTAGAAGTAGTCAGATACTGATGTAGACTGTGTGAAGTTTTACTTATTCCTTCTGTGTTATTCTGTAAGGTTTGGGGTTTTTTTATTATAAAATCAACATTATGAAAGTAGTGTCTCATGTAGCATAAGTTTAGAGACTTTTTGATACCAACATTAAGATGTAACTAATGCTTATACAAATTTTACAATTTGAGGCTAAATTAGAGTGCTAGTCCTGAATTGGCTGGTTCCTGGGTCTTTACACCTGTTCAGAGATTAATATTGGAACATAAATTATTTGGATTAAAAAAAAAAATCCAGCAAATTTCCTTCTTTAGGCTCCCATACACTGGGTGAAAGACTAAATAGAAGAATTGATTCATTTACATGTCTGGTGAAACGCAAGGCTGAAGAGTGAGAAGTGGCTACAATCTTCCCTCTTATATTTTGCTTTCAGTAATTTCATTGGTGGAAGGAATTGAGAAGCAGCTTACACTGATGGGCTATCTGTAGTGATAACTTCATGGGAATATGCCTTGGCATAAAAAAGTGTGTTAAGTCTCTGGAAGATCTGGTAGATGCAGCAAATAAATACTTGTACCTTGTGTAAATATATWCAATGTGTAAAACCAGACAGCATAAACTTTTATATGCAACTGGAGACTTAATTGGTTGCATGACTTTTAAAAGCTTTTAAATAGTTGGAATGTGTATTAGTGCAGAAAAAGGAAATATTGTGTAAGTGAAGTCCACCCAGCTGCAGAACTGTCAGGCACTCTGCGTATTGCGGTTTTGATTCCCATCTCTCCCTGTGCTGCTGAACTCCTGGCACAGCACTGAGGTCWCAGATCTGCAGAGACAGACTATTGCATTGATTTTGTAGAACTGTGCTTTGTGTGGGTTCATACTTTTTGATTTTGCAAGGGTGTACTGCTAGTCTCAACATATTAGTTATGAATAACTCTTTTATTCTTTAATCTTCAGGATATCTTCTGTAAAAATACTTGACACGTAATCTTGAGGGATTTTTTTCTATATTTTTAATGAGCCCTCTGTTCTGTTTGTATTTAATATTAAGATTTAGTATTTCGTGCAGTTTAGTCAAGCAGGGATTCTTTCAATTAATAGCTTTGGAGAATGGCAAGATTTTCTTTTGTTATTTTAAACAGTGTTTTCACATTCCATAATGTTCTCCTTTCAGCAACACTGAAGCACATCGTAAATTTAATTAGACAACTTTTCTTGAAGCAGTGTTTGGACCAATAAGCAGAAATAAGAGAAGTTATAKTCCTAATGATACAGCAAAAGAATTTTGGGACTGTAGCATAAGACTCTTGACTATTTTTCCTTTGCTGTCTTTCTGTCTTTCCATGGAATAAGAATTGCATAGATTTATTTACCTTCTTCACGAAGAAGGTATCTTTCATGACAAGAACRATTGTGAAGCATTATCAACAATTAGAATCGCCAAACAGATAATCATTGGAGATTAAAAAAGGGTCTAATTTCAATTTGTTTAGAGCTTAATACCTTTATTCCTCTTTTTGTGTCTGACTCAAATAAGGATTTATTATAATGGGTAATTACCCTTATGAAAAAATATTTTCCTTTTATATGTTTCCTTGCTCATAGTTTGTCCATTCTGGAATTGTGAGTTGTCAATATTCTTCTAGCTGTATGCAGAAGATGTACTGAAGCAAGGAAATATATATATATATTCTTCTGCACTGAAATAAATCCTTCTTAACATTTAATTCAAACAAAAGTAAACTTAAAGGCAAACAAACCTGAGCTCCAAAACCCATTAGTAAATAATACAAAGATCAATAGATAATTTTTTAAAGGTTGAAAATAAATTGAAGCTACAGATTGAGTAAGGTTTTCATGTGTTTCATAAATTGTGCAGTTTCATGAATCATTTCAGCTTCAAATGAGTCAAAGTTAAACTGATGTTTAAAAGTTGCATGTACATCTGTGTCTTGAACAAGAGCAAAATCTTGGGAAGTGTAAAGTCTTGTCTAAGGATGACTTTAAGCATATTTTTCTTGTCTGGGACCACTTCCTGATGTTACGAAACAAGATACCAAGATAATTTAGCATCTTATGAACATGTACAGGTGACTGCTTCAAAAGTCTTGTGARCAATTGCTTTAAAATCAGTCTTGCCTTTAAAGGCAACTCTTGCCACATAGTTCTCCTAAACTGCAGCTAAAACATGCATCAGACATTGTGCCCTTCACTTTATAGCAGGGTGTGAATGTCCTGTTGACTATTGCATTTATCASTGCTTCTGTGAGAARCAGCAGTGACTAACCCARGAGGAAGGTTACATTGGTGCCTCTYATATMCCAGTCAYCARATTKCACCTTAGAGTGGCACCCTTCTGCATAGTACTGTATTTGTCTTATATAGAAATACACCATATAGTTAAATGATCTCCACCACTAAGGAAAAACTCCCAAAGACTAAAGGACAGCTGTTTTGCAGACAAAACTCTCCCTACTGCAAGGCTGTAGGCATCGAGAAAGTGAAAGTGTCTCTGGACTGTTTTTAGTACAGTACTGCAGTAAATCTYCSTGCAAAGCTGTAGAGAGGGAAAGGRGATTTTGTATTAAACAAAACTGATTTTTTTCATCCTCATTCATCCACACATTCTCTTTTACTCATATATTAATGACTGCTACAATATGTGCCCATATAGTCTAGCTAGGRACTTGGAGTGACACCAGCAAACACCTAGCATGTGTTTTTCTGTGGTTTTGGATTGTTCCTAGTGCTGAAGTCTGGATGTGACTTTCCCGCACTAAAAAAGTTGATAGTAACTCTAAATTGTTTTCCCCCTTCCCACCTATGAGAGTCACTAGGAAATGCTGCTGATTTACTCACTGTGTGTGGCTTTATTTTTTGCTGAAGTTGGGGGTTTTTCCTTGTTTTTTTAGAACTTTTTTTACCAAATACAGGTTTCTTGAATAATAGACTGTGACCTTAGTATCTTGATGTCATCAATTGTCATTATTTTATACCTTCTWATCCTTTTTTTCAGTCTTTTAATACCCTTACCTTACAATTCACATTTCATTTATGCCATGTTTTCRTTACAAACCTCCACAATTTGTTACTGGAAAGAAGGTCTCATAGCAACAAAGAAATTACAAACATTAATCTGTGGCTCCTATTGCAAAGCATGTGTCTTCAGATTGCTTTTATTTAGGTATGCTTAGAGCAATTCTGACGCTTAGAACAGCTTCTTGTAACAAAATCTTATCAAAGAATAGTGTGTTTCATATGGCCTTCCCTGGGGTGCAGTGGAAAAGAGAGCAAAACACACATTTGTGTGAAAAGTATTATGCTAATGAAGGCACTCTAAGAGGCTAAAGCAACATGATTCAAACACTGTATACTTGCAAATGTAATATGGGTTCCAAGAGAGCCAGAGCTTTTCTTTATTATGATGGTAAAATTGTATCTTAAAGATTTCCAGCATCACAAAAGTAAGATCGGACTACACTGTTTTAGAGCTAAAATTATGTGTTGCAGAGCTCAGAAAATTACAATAACTGTAACAAGAAAAAATAATGGCGATATTAATGCCTGTTTAATTTGGTTGGGATTTTGCCTTTGATAGCTATGCTTAGAGAAGGTCTCGATTAAGTGATTTTTTTTTTTCCTTTTTTTAATAAATCCAGAAGATCACAGAATGCATCACAGTGGTATCTTCTTTGCTAGGAAAGACACTGAACAAAATACRCACCTAGGCTGGTATTTTTGCAAGGGATCCCTTCTAAACCTTTCCTAATGATTGTCCTCCTTTGCTGCTGGCAGTGGTGATTTGTCTGTTCTCTCAAATGTCAGCTACCCAAAAGATAAAGGAGGGACATGAGCAGCAGGAATGTAATCTTCTCTTTATCTCTCCTTCAATATTTCAGGAGTTTTACTTTAAATGTGGAGCACACCCAACCACTGACAGTGAAACATCTGTGGCTTTGAACCTCGTTACAACAAACAGTCGCTCTATCACATGTATAACATGCACAGATATTAGGTAAGTACAACAAAAATTGTCAGAGATGCACAGTCTCGGTGCTTCACAGTAYTTATCACTTCCAAAGAGCCTCTTTTCCTTTGTTTGTTTTCCTTTTTAAGGGTTGTTTTTTCCCCTGGAAACATGAGGAAAAATAGGCCACSTTTTTAGGTGGGTTGTTTTGATGGTAAAATTATAGTTTGTGTTTTTGTACCGTAGTTATGTGGAAATCTGACAGTTTAAGCTCTAACCAAAATCTCAAGTGCTCAAGTGGCATAAGTGGATAGATTCTGCTAATATGTGTTCAATAGCCAGAAAAAAGGCTGGGTTTTTGCAGGAAACAGAGTGTTCTTGGAGAAATTAACTTCTTGGTGTTTGTTCTATAAATCAAAGTAAAGTGCATCTGTTCTCATGTTTGTGTTTATTGTAGTTTAAAATACTGTAATCCATCTTTGCATGTGGTATTTGGGCACATTTATTCAAGAATATCCATTACTTGAGAATGCATAGATTAAAAACCAATTGCCCAAAAAACACAGCTACCACTGTAGTGACGAATTACCTGAAACACATTTATCTGCTGATCAGGAGATATTTTACTTGAAAGGTAATGAGAATTGTGAAATTGTAGCTGTTGGTCAGAAGGGAGAAATTGGGAAGAGAGAGACAGAGAATTGAACTCTGTACTGATTCAGATGGTGTGACCCCTAGAAAGAGCAGGTTTTGGAAGCATTTTTTGTGGTGTATTTACAGAACTGGCTCCTGGGTACAGGTAAGTGAAGACCAAATATCGGTCTCTGTCAAACTGGTGCATCAGCATTTTGCAGCAAGGGTGCAGACTCAACTACTCAAAAGTGTTGAGTTCTCCTGTCCCTTCCAAAAATATGCCAGGCAAGGGGAATGATTTGGCTCACAGAAGTGCAGACCCCCTAKTGTGTGTCTAAACCACAAGAGGGCCAACAGCTGATCCCTGATCAGAGCCAAGTGACGATGACTGACACGTGTCCTGCACAGTGCTGTGTAACCTGGTGCTTTGTCACTGCCAGCTTGGGTTGATCGTGAAGCTGAAACCCAAAGGCTCTTTGTTCAAACTAGATCTGCAGTGAAAGGATATTTTTTTTTATCCTAGCAGTAACATGGAATGGAAAAAGGTTATTCGTGTCCTAATAGTTCCTGTGTGGGCTCAGGAAGCATCAGAAGAGTTCACAGAGTTCACTCATCAGAAGGGTTGAAATACAACAGAGGAGTAAAACTCACTGAATAGATGAGCTYTTTGGGATAAACAGTACCTGTTCTCTGGGATCTGTGTCCACTGGGGTTCCCAAGAACTCTTAARTATTTTGAGACTGCAGGAAAAGTTGTCTGTTTCTGAGAATTTACTGGGTTTTTGTTAAGGTCTCTTCCCAATTAAGCAAAAAAACAGCATAACCAACCAATAAAAAAAMCCCAAAGAACAAACAAACAARCAAAAACAAACAACCATGGCAAAACAAAAACCAAACAACCAACAAACAAAAAAATAAAACCAAAAMAACAAACAAACAAAAACCTCCAAGAAAAGCTAAGGAAAAAAGCTGGTGTTAAATCCCCTTCTCTGGGTARTATTAAAACAAGCAAAATGTAAGAAATTGTGTCTCATCATGACAAAATATTGATACACATTTCTATGATAAGTCTAAATTTCTCAGAATGTGTCTATATGTAAAATTCTGACTTTATTTCAGAAGTTCAATTTTTAAAAGCCATAAAAGCTTTTTGTGTAATATTAGATATTTGTAGGTGGCACCAAAATCTGAGATACCAAGAAGAACTTATTCAATTTTATTTTTTTGTATGGCAGTTTCTGCAAGTTGTTAAAATAGAAGGTCATGTGTATCTTTGGGTGCATGAAATAATTTTCCACTTAAAGCTGTGCAAGAAATTCATTAAGTCTCTGATTTTGTCTATTACCAGTTGCAAGGATGGTCAAATGTATGTCTTTAACCATTGGAAAGAGTGAAAGATTGTGCAGTTAAAACATTTATCAGTTATGCAAAAAAATTATAAAATCTTGTGCTACTTAAAAAATCTCTACTCAGTTTTTTGAGTTTCTAATTCCTTTCTCCAATCTAGTATTCTTGTAATATTTGTATAAAATTCCAAGAAAKTAAATAGCTGTAATTCTTTTACTTCAATTAAAATTTTAGGTGATTGTACTGGCAATTAYTTTCTAATACAGTTACGCAGGTGAAAAGTAGCATTTAAGGCACTCTGCAGTTTGGAGTTTTGTGAAACCTACCTTCATCATTCTGTAGCATTGATGTGAAAAAGAGGATTAACTGTATTCAGTACCTTACCTATTACTTTGTATTAGCTTCACTATAGTAAATGAAAAATTTGTGTCTGTTCTTCAAAGTAGATTTTTCTTTCTTCTTTTCTGAAAAAACCCAAACCAACACCAAGAAACCAAACAGGAAATGATGACAACCAGGTACATTTTGTACTAGGTTCAATTTCTTAAATATTTTTGTTTGCAGCAAGATTTATCATTTACAGTTGATCCACCACAGGCCGAGAAATTAAGTTCCAAGATTCTTGGCACAGCATTTGTATGGTTTTAGAAAGGTTAGAAAAGCTCCTAGAAATCTTATTTGAAGCAGTAGTGTACTCTGCTATATAGAAAAAATACAAAGTGTAAGCAACATTAGTCTGTTGCCAGTTTTTATTCTCAAGTTTACATTAGATACACTTAGTTTGCCTCAGGTTTATTTTTCATTTGAATATTTTCATGCAGGTCTGACCACCAGAGTGAAATACTTGAAAGCCAAATACCCTTGTAGGGCTGTGCTAAATCCATAGGCAGWATTCCATGTAGTGTAATGCCTTCCAATGTATTCTGCTTATCTACAGCACAGTTAGTGTGAATTGGCAGCTTTTATTCATTCTTTTTTTCTGTAGCATTCAAGGTGATGGGTTGCTATTCTATGTCTTTGAAGAAGCTTTAATAGGTTGAGCAAATGGCTGAAAGTTGAAACAAATACTAAAACTCTGCAATCCCTGAGGGAAGATCTGCTTTTGTCAACTGTTTCCAGTAGAAATAACATCAAAAGGGGTTAGGAGTACCCCAGGGTACCCATAAATCAGGCTCAGGAACAACAGCAGTTTTAAGCAGTGTAAAAATAAAATGTGTAGAACAGAAATGCCTCACGTCATCTTTCACGAACTCGGTAGGGTACAATTCCTAAAGGCACCATTATTTTTAGCTTTCAGCAGATACAGRTAAGTGTGAAAGATATATAGGACATACAGTCTCTTAATAGGTAAAAAGAATTCTCTAGAAGAAGTATTTGCTGTTGTGTTATCAGATTTTTTTTTTTTTTAAATTTCATAACTCCTTCCTTCATAGTCTTGAACAAAGGAATTGCTTTGTTTWAACAATGGAATCTTTTATTAGTTTTTTTCTGCTATCTGGACTTTCTAATCCTGGATTTGGAAGTGAGAACTTCTGCTAGTGGTGCTAATAGTGCATGTGCTAGTTATTCTTCAAGGGTAACTGTGGTGTAATGTCTTTGTCAGAGTTCTTTTCGGCCAATTCAATTCAGACTGTGACCACATTAGATTTCATGGGCAGGAGAGTAATGGAGAAGGTTGGTACTTGGAGGGGAAAAATAGTGCATGTGCTATAGTCCTGTTGGAAATTTCGTGGGCAGCCCTCTTCTCCTTCAGACAATACAGAATAAAAGAAAGCTTGTTATTGGGAATAACAGTGGGTTAATTTGGTTTCCATGGAATTGTTTTAGACCTCCTAAGCTTCTCACTAGCTCTTAATAAGCCATTTTGTTCAGTCATTTTTTTTTATTCAGAAGTAAAAGTACAACTTAAAAAATCTTTCCCTTYCTTCAGTTTGTGACATTCTCCTTATCCCTCCTACTTGTTCATTTTATCTTTTGTAGAGTCAGGATTGACACTGATGAGTTTTGTTTTTATGGGGTAGCCCTCCTAACTGGTAAGGGATAGAATCATTTACTTCTTAATAAATGCATATGTGAATCATTTTCTGTTGTGGCTTTTACCTGTGGATTTTTATATGCTATAAGAAGACCAGGTCCCYGAGTTTATTATGTGGATTAGTGGTTTTTCTAATATCGTATTTTGAGTTTTGATCTTTAGGACATTATTGTTGGTATATATGTGTCATGTTCCTTATCGACCTACATGTTGTACTGTGTTTTGTGTTAATGTTGTACATTACTTTGAATGTACAACATTAATGCAATGTATTTGAAGTAAAATATTTCTTCAATTACAGTTTAAACTATTGTTTAGAGTCACCTGAAATAAGTTGCCTTACCTTTCTTCTTCTGAAATAAATATGATGTTAATGCAGTCTGGGTTTCAAAAAAAAGGTGGAAAAAATATCAGTGGAGGACTATGGCAGTGACTATGGCAAGAGATATATGAGGCAGCAAGTCAGCCATGGTATTCAAAACATTTACATTACAAATAATTCCAGAATCTTTAGTTGATTATTTGAATCCAATGCTGCAGCTGAAGAGACAATTTACAAAACTCATCTTTTGATAGAAAGCCACCAATTAACTCAGTTGGTTAGAGCATGGTGCTAACAATGTCAAGGTTGTGGCTTTGATCCCTCTGCAGGCCATTCACATAGGAGTTGGACTTCATGATCCTTGTGAGTCCCTTCCAACTCAGAACMTTCTGTGATTTGTTTGACAACTGATAACATTTTCTAAATGAGGAATCTCTACTACAAGTTTGATTCAGGTCAATTTTGCTGTTATTTGAGGAGAGTTTTACCAGGGACTTCTATTGTTTTCTAAGATGAAAATGCAGACCATGTCCACTAAAAGACATTACCCATGGGATGTTTTCAGAAGAGTAAATAGCATCTTATTCTAGACTTATAATTGCTATTTCTCTTTGCTTCTGGGGCAAAGGATCCTAAATTTACCCCTTGGGCAATTACAATCTAAAAGTTATTAAGTCTATGTTTAGCTCATCTTCTTAAAATACTTTTTCCC